ATTTTGACTATTTAACAAGTTTTTTGAAAATGAGTTTTGTAGTGGCTAGTGTTGTTCGAGAAGGAGAAGCATAGTCAAATATGTAGAAATATAAAGCAGTAAAAGATGCAGTGAACAACACATTTGTTTACACAATTTAGAATAACCATTCTTACAAATGCAAGGTTCCCAACTCGACAATTATCCAATCCTAACATTTTTTCAAGTACAAATTACATAACGGTAAGGTAAAGATAGTACCAAATGTCCACCGAATTTATGTAAGACCCATCATGTTATAGATTCAAGAAAATGAAGCCAATAACAATCAAGATATCCTAGAAATATGCAAGGATCACATAATTAAACAATTTTTCACAAGATATGTTTAACAATTTAAGTCAACTCGCTCTAATACCAAATGAAATTATTCTTAGCTACTTCGTAACTTGGATTAGTAGAATTAGATACTTTGATGATTTCACAAGTTCTTGAAAATCAATTCGGTATGTACTAGCTTGTGTTGTTCTAGAATGAGAATTAGATAGTCAAATACGCATAAATATAAAGTTAGTAAAAGACACAAGGAATAACACATTTGTTTACTCATTTCAAAGTGACAACTCCTACAGAATTATTATTGTGTGGACCATGGTCTATATAAGTTGTATGGACCATATTTTATATATTGTAAAATAATATACATTCACTACAAAAATAATATACATTGTACGCATAAATATAAAGTAGTAAAAGACACAAGGAACAACACATTTGTTTACTCATTTCAAAGTGACAACTCCTACAGAATCATTGTGTGGACCATGGTCTACTTAAGTTGTATGGACCATATTTTGTATACTATAAAATAATGTACATTCACTACAAAAATAATGTACATTGTATTCAGGGGATGTACATTATTTTTGTACTGTGTGTACATTATATTGTATAATGTATATACAATACAAAAATAATGTACATTTAGTATATTAAAAATGTACTCTTTATTATGGTCCACATAACATTGTGTAGACAATGGACCATGGTCCACACAATAAGGCAAATTATATCATGCACCACGGTGCATGATCAATCATGCACCGCGCGTCCTTTTTTTTTAAATGAAAATAAACAGTGTTTGTTTTCCGCCGTTTCGCACCCTTTTGCAAAAATTAACCCTGTTCTTCAGTGTCATTTTGTACACTGCAGTTTCAGTTCAACACAACTACAGTTTCATTTCGATATAACTATAGTTTCATTCGATATTTATAGACTCAAATATGTGAAAATGTTATTTAATTTTATTTTATATACACTATAGTTTCATTAAAACACAACTACATGATCATTTTGATATAATTATGGCTTCATTGTACAATATACATTCAAATATGTGAAGTGTTATTCAGTTTCATTTTATACACACTGCAATTTCATTTCACTATAACTACAGTATCATTTTGATATAACTGCAATGTCGGTTTAAATATACTGTAGTGTCAGTTGGTGTTTAATACACCAAACAAGAGGACTCCGTTAACTATAACGGCGGGCTGTTTCTTTACTTAAAGAAACGGCACCGTTTTTTACCGCAGTGCACATGCACCGAGTGCATCGCGGTCTATGATATAACGACTGACACAATAATTTGCCACTCCCACATCTGCAGGCTCCCAACTCCGGCCCAATCCACTAACACTATTCCAAATACATATTACATAATGGTTAAGTAAAGATATAGTATTAACAATCCACTAGATTTATGTAAGTGATTGCAGTATATTTCTCAAACAAATAATTACCTAGAGTATTGGGTTATCGATCCACAGGAAAATAGAACGTATCAGGTACTAGTTATTAATTTATTTTTGTGAAGCTAATTCTAACGAAAAGCATGGATGGTTGATTAAATATAAAACTAATTCAAAAGAAAAGTAGCAGGTTTGTGAAAACAATAGAGAGAAAATGAGATTCATGTGATTCAAGTATTTAATCACCTAGTGCCAATCTTAAGAACAATATTAAATCTGGGTTCAAACAAGTGTGAGAATGCAAACAAGGGAAAGAGTTACTCCCGTAATCTCTAACCTAAGTGAATATTCACTCCCGTGATATAAACACCCAACGAATTAAGAACAAGCTAAGCATTCATAATAAACTCTTAACTACCACCATCCCCCGATGTGCAATAACTAAGAATTAACTCCCTAACATATATGCCCTCTCCCAAGGTGCAACAGTTAAGTGCAACTGTGGGTGCTCTCAATTATACCCTAACTCCCGTTAAGATATAAAGATAGTTGTGAAACAAGTAATCATGACCACTAATTACTAGCATCAACAATATGAAATCACAATTGCAACACAAGTATAAAACCCAAATATATATCAATATATTAAACAATCTGAGAGCTAGGCACATAGGTTTATAAATACTTTTACCCAAGAATCTCTAAGATAAATTAGCCACACATAGCTAACATAGAATTTATAGCAATAAAATAAAGAGTTTACAAACAATCAAAGAAAGTAAAAGAATAGACCAAATGATTCTCCCAAATCTCCCTAGCTTTTCTTCTTTCTTCTCAAGACAACTTGTAGCTCTTAATTCTCTTCTTTCTTATCTCCAAAACGCAGCATGAATCCCTTAGGGTTGATGGATGATGGTCCTTTTATAGTGGGAGCAAAGCGGGGGCGAAATAGGAAATTTTTGTGCAAAATTGGAACCTACCAAATCGACAACTCGACGCATCGAGCTTGAGGCGTCGTTTATCTGGAATCTCGACTGGACGTCTCGACGCGTCGAGCCTTCGGCTGATCGTCTCAGGCAGCTACTGTAAATTCTCGACTCGTCGAGTCCTATGTGCTCGCACCATCTCGGCTTTGGGAAATATTGGACGCGTCGAAACTCCTGTGTCAGCACCGTCCGGTCCACTTCAGCTCCAAATTCGTCCTAGAACTTCCCTTACTTTTGCACTTAATATATAATGGTTCCAAAACACTAACAAACACCATAAAACATTCAAAACAAGTGTAAAACTACATCTTAGTGACAAAACAAGGGAATATGCATTTAAAGTAACATTTTCATAAACTTAAAATCAACAAATAGATTCAAACTAACAAGGAATACATGTATAATTAAGCTCACATCAGTAAGTTGGAATCAAGACTAATTGGATTGGTGTTGAGCAACTCGTGTCAAAACAAGGCTCCCTGTTGAACAAAGTCCATTCACATGAGTCGTCACAACGCCCAATAACGTCTTGAACTAAGACGTGAATCACTATAAGCTTTAATTTCAACATATTCATACTCGGAGTTTTAGAAGACTTGCGATCTCAGTTATCTTAGAGAAAAAAAAATTAAATTGTTACCAAGGATCTTGTGGTCCAATAGTACCAAGGTGTTCCCTTATGTGGGAGGTGATGAGTTTGAGCCTTGGTGGAGGCGTAGTAGACGTTTTCAAAATAAATAATTATCGTCTATGCTAAATGGTTTATATACACAATAACAATAATACAATGTTGGGTTGGGGTTATTATCCTTGCCAACTTTCTTGCCATCCGGTTTGGAAGATTTCTAGTTTTCCTAGTTTCTTACCACTTTTTCAAGCAATATTGTTCTGTGATTAACAATAATACAATGTTGGGTTGGGGTTATTATCCTTGCCAACTTTCTTGCCATCCGGTTTGGAAGATTTCTAGTTTTCCTAGTTTCTTACCACTTTTTCAAGCACTATTCTTCTGTGATCGGCTTTATTTCTCTCCTTATGAACAGTAGTGCCATGGCAGACGCAAAGCTCGATCACCGGCTTCCTCGCTCTCGTTACAAATCTGAGAGTCATGGCCGGTGACAGTGTTTTTTTTTTTTTATATATATAATATTTATTTTAATAAATATATAAATAAATTTTATAAAAAAACAAAAAAAAAAGAAATATTTTAAAAAGACACCGTATCAACCAGGTGGAGACTTAACCTGTTAAATAAGTCACTTTGGACTTAATTGAACAATTTTATAGGTTTAGGGGATGATGATGATGATGATGATGAAATCCGATTTGAGGATACGGGTCAAAACAAATCAATCCTACCTTCGAGACCGGCCCCATCGGTCGCGGCTTCGTGCATCGAAGGCTAGCCCTTGCGGCTAGCCTTGAGGCTCCAAGGTCGAGCTCAGTGCTCGGCCTCAAGCGGCCAAGGCCGAGCTTGGCGTTCAGCCTCGAGCCACCAAGGCTGAACTTAGCACTCGCCCTCAAACGACTAATGCCAAGCTCGGTGCTCAACCTCGAACAGCCAAGGCCGAAGACGGGTGGAACGTGTGGACGTAGTCAAAATAGCACTAATCGCCACCCCTTTCTCGAGGGTGGTTACAAGGCAAACATAGTATAAATTTCAACATTTGTCTTAACACAATCTATCTTGTAATCACATTATACAAGTCATTAATACTATACTTTTTGTTTCTTCAAGCTTCAATGCTTTCTCTTTACTAAACACTTATCCTTTTAATTATTAATTTTGGTTAATTTGAGTTATCCAAGTTAATTAATTCCATCAAATATAATTTTCTATCAATTCAATCATATCAATATAATTATACACTAGTATTTAGTGATTGACTAATCTTCATTGTGTTTTATCCAAATCAGCATCAATTGTACCTTTTAAAAGATCGCAGATTCTATCATGGACTAGGACTATCATATACATTGTGGACCTTAATCTAAATTATATACATGTTGTTATATACGAATTTGATTGTTTTTTGGAAAAAAAACCTCCGCAATCTTCGCAACACGACGTTCCTCTTCCGATCATGATCTCCGGTCGTGATCCCAAATCGTGATCCGTTTTGTGCTTTCCGATCGTGGCCCTCTCGCTTAGTTGTGTCTAAGTGAGGTTCTCCCTAGGTATCTAGGATTTTCTATTTATTTGAAGATTTGTCTGATGGAGTTATCAACATTAATCTACGTTACCCTGCTAATTACGTCGATCCGTCTCCCTCGAGTCAACATGGATATCCGGCAGATTGAGGAGAGATGCGCGGAATTAACTCTAGCTGAGGAGGAATCCGGTGGGATGGAGGCACCCGAGATCCAATCCGACCTTGATGCGGCGATCCAACACAAATTGGTGGGTCGGTTCCTCACAGACCAGCCGATCAAATTCGAATATATGCAAGAAGTCTTGGCCTCGGTGTGGCGACCGGTGATGGGCATGCATGTGGAGTCTTTGGCGGATGATATGTTCCTGTTTCAATTCCCCCACCCGAAAGACCTTCAGAGAGTCCTCGATGATGGTCCGTGGACGTTCGAAAATAGTATGCTGGTTTGCGAGACAGTTCCAATCAATACAAGGCCAGAGGATGTCAATCTGGACTCAGTCCTCTTTTGGGTTCAGATACACGGACTACCGGCGGTGTATGCTTCCATTGATTTCCTCATGCGAATTGGTAATTATGTGGGGACTTTCATTGCCGTCGATCCTCTGAATTTTGGCGGCTCTTGGAGAAGTTTCATTCGCATCAAAGTGCATATGAATGTCGCGACACCACTGAAAAGACGTATGAAGCTATTTCGGAAGGATGGTACGTCGCAATGGGTCTCTTTTCGGTATGAGAGACTCGGCACTTTCTGTTTCTGTTGCGGGGTGTTAGGGCACTCCGATAAATTTTGCAAAAGGGTGTACGAAGAAGGTATCCTCCCGGAGGCCTTACCGTTCGGGTCGTGGATGAGAGCAGGACCCAGACGTCAAGCGAAGCCAATAGGGGCTAAGTGGTTGTTGCCATCATAGATGCAAATTACAATGGAATCAAATGTTCTAGATGCTGGTCCTTCCCCCGTACATTTGATGGCCATGGAAGAGACTGGCGGTTTGCAGGGAGATCTCAAGCGCCGCAGAGAGGAGAGTGAGACACTAGATGATTCGCAGGAGGTGGATGTGACAATGGTGGAGAACTCAAAAAACATGATGAAGGCGGGTCTGATGGACCAGGCTCGCCAAGCCAAATGAGTATCATCAGCTGGAACTGCCGAGGTTTGGGCGGCACCCGGACAGTTCGCGAATTATTGGGCATTGTGTCCAAGCGACGGCCTTTCTTTGTCTTTTTAATGGAGACAAAGGCAATCAATTCTAGAGTGGAAGAAGTGAGGGTTAAGTTGGGTTTTGAAGGGGCGTGTAGCGTGGATCATGTGGGGTTAGGTGGGGGACTGGCGTTGTTCTGGAGAGATGCAGACGGGGCATCATTGTTGAGCTACTCCAGCAATCACATAGATATGATGGTCACGCTACCTGGAAGGCCGGCGTGGAGACTTACTGGTTTCTATGGTAATCCGGATAGAACTCAGAGGCATGTCACCTGGAATCTTCTCCGGCGCCTCAGAGACAGATCATCTCTACCGTGGATAGTCGTGGGTGACTTCAATGATATTGCTTGCCTATCGGAGAAAAGGGGAGCTCATTCGCATCCAGAGCCCCTCATTGAGGGCTTCAATGACGCGCTGGGTGATTGCCGGCCGAATGATCTGGGAATGTTGGGGGGCAGGTTCACGTGGGAGCGGGGTCGGGGTACAGACTCATGGGTAGAGGAAAGGCTAGACAGGGCCGTGGCTACGGTGGAGTGGGCGGAGTTGTTCGAGGAAGCGATAGTTCGGTGCCTCTTAACTTTGTCTTCTGACCATTGTGCTATTTACGTGGACGTAGAGACCATGCCGAGGCGTGCAGCTGTGCGCACTTTTAAATTTGAGTCAGCCTGGTTACTCGAGGAAAGATGTGCGAAGGTAGTCGACGAGGCGTGGCGCCAATCAATAGGGTTGCATTTTCAAGAACGTATACAGCTATGTGGCCAACGCCTGTGGAGATGGGGAGGGGAACATCATCGCTCCTTTGGGGGTCGGAACTAAGGCGCAGATTGGAGGGGCTAAAAGAGGATAGGGAAGTACAAGCCGTGAATGAATATCTGTCCATTGAGAGAGAGTTGGGGGTGTTATTGAAGCAGAAAGAACTTTTCTGGAAACAGCGTTCAAAATAACTATGGCTTAAGCATGGCGACGCTAATACAAAGTAATTTCACAAGGCCGCCACAGCTCGCCGCAAACGAAATTTTTTGCAACCAGTCAAATATCAAGAGGGACAGTGGAGGGAAGGGGTGGCCATGCATACGGAAATACTAAGGTGCTATGACTGTATTTTTAGTTCCAGCAACAGTAGTCCGGACCTGTTCAATCGAGTCCGGTCACGGGTAACAGAAGAGATGAATGTCTCTCCGTTACAACCTTTCACAATGTCGGAGGTGAAAGCGGCCTTGTTTTCTATGGCCCCGGAGAAAGCACCGGGTCCTGATGGCATGTCTCCGGCCTTTTTCCAACACTTCTGGCCAGTTTTGGGGCATGACCTTTCTGTATTCATCCTAAACTGTGTGGCCAATAGGGATTTTCCTCAGGGATTCAATGCTTCCAACATTGTGTTGCTCCCTAAGAAAAAGATCCCGGAGAAGGTGTCAGACCTTCGTTCGATTGCCCTCTGTAACGTTGTTTATAAAGTGCTGGCCAAGATGGTAGCAAATAGGCTCAAAGGGACCTTGGAAAAGATTGTGGCACCTTCACAAAGTGCCTTCATCCCTGAGAGGCTTTTAACAGATAACATAATTGTAGCGGGGGAAATTGGCCATTCCCTAAGGAGGAAAACTTATGGGAAAGTGGGGTGGGCGGCGCTAAAACTAGACATGGCTAAGGCTTATGACAGAATGGGGTGGGGATTCCTGGAGGGGATGTTAAGGGCGCTGGGGTTTGTGCGGGAATGGGTGGAGTTGTTAATGTTGTGTGTCTCAACTGTTAGTTACACGATTCAGGTTAACGGTGTGGCCGTGGTATTGTGCGTCCCTCTCGGGGGATAAGACAGGGGGATTCATTGTCACCATACCTGTTCATAATTTGCGCTGAAGGGTTATCCATCCTGCTACAGCAGGCGGAGGCTCGGGGAGACATTCATGGGGTGAGGGTGGCTAGGGGGGCCCCGGCTATCACTCATCTCTTTTTTGCTGACGACAGTTTGTTATTTTTCAGGGTAAACCAAAACGAAGCTGTTAAAATAAAAAATTGTTTGGACTTATACTGTGCGGTATCCGGGCAGCTTATAAATTTTAAGAAGTCTGCTGCCGTATTCAGCTTAAATACTAGTTCTGAGATGCGAGATCTGGTTTCTGCTCATTTTGGCGTCCATTCAACTGCTGATTTAGGCCGGTATTTGGGCCTTCCATCGGTCCTAGGGTGTAACAAAACGGCCACTTTCAAGTTCATTGAGGAAAAAGTCAGGGAACGCATTGGAGTATGGCAGCATAAGCTTCTTTCCAAGGCGGGTAAGGAGATTCTCATTAAGAGCATAGCTCAATCTCTACCCATTTTCACGATGTCTGTTTTTCTGCTACCTTTGCGTGTTTGTGATTCTATCGAGAAATGCTTCAATCGGTATTGGTGGGGAAGTAGGGATACGGGGAACAGAGGAATTCATTGGTTGAGCTGGGCTAGGCTTTGCGAGCCAAAGATGCGGGGTGGTATTGGCTTCAAGAAACTTCATGAATTCAACGTGGCTTTGTTAGCGAAGCATGGGTGGCGTCTATTAAGCCATCCGGAATCTTTGGTTTGCAGACTCCTGCAAGCGAAATACTATCCTCAGACTGATTTCATGGAGGCACAGTTAGGGAGGAATCCCAGCTATATATGGCGAAGCATATTGGCTGGGCAAGAGGTACTAAAGAAAGGGGTGGCTTGGCGCATTGGGGATGGTTTGGACACTAAGATTTGGGGGTGGAACTGGGTTTCAGACAACAGTACCCCAGCCTTGTTCACTCCTTGTATTGAGGAGTTGAAGGATGCTCGGGTGAATGGGTTATTGATACACAGGGCAGTTGGGATGCCGATGTAGTGCGTGACATTTTTCAGGAAGAGGATGATCGGCGTATTCTTGAAACTCCAGTAAACAGCCAGCTCAAAGATGTGTGGAGGTGGATTGGGGACATTCGGGGGAGGTATATGGTTAAGCATGGGTATCATCTTTTGACTAATAGTGATATGTGATCCACAATTGATGCAGGCTTCCATGCGTGGAGGAATTTGTGGTCTTTGTCGATGCCTCCAAAAGTCAAGAACCTGTTATGGCGCTGTGCCCGTGGAGTGCTTCCAGTCCGTGAAAACTTGAAAACGAAACATATCTGGCTTGGCGGAGGTTGCCCGTTGTGTGGTTTCTGGGCAGAGACAACAGAACATCTGTTTGGCAATTGTAGATTTGCTGCAGAACTATGGGGCACGACAGAAATTCTTCAGGGAAGGAATATGCAGGTTTTTATGGACTCTGTCTTGGGGGGTTCAGCGTCGGAGATGGCTCTTACCATGGCAGCCATTATTTGGGTCGTCTGGTCGACAAGGAATGATGTGGTCTAGCGCAATGTCACGCCATCCGTGCGGGAGATGAAAGAGCAGGTTTGTCATTCGCAAAACATCTGGAAAGAAGCGTTCGATGGCGATTTACGTAGAGGGGGGGGGGCGGGGGGGGGGGGGGGCTATCGAAGTCACAACTCGCTGGACTCCACCACCGAACAATAGCCTAAAATGCAATGTCGATGCCGCTCTTTTCTCAAATGGCGCTGGCTTTGGCGCGGTCATTCGAGATCATGGCGGTCGCTTTGTGGCAGTGAGAGGGGGACGTATCGACTGTGGTCACGATCCTTTCATGGCCGAGGCAATCGCGGTCAAGGAAACGTTAACATGGCTGAAGAATTTACAACACAATAAAATCATTCTTGATTCTGATTGTTTAAACTTTTGTAATGCTTTTAATTCTCATTTTTCATATTATTCATACGTTGGTGTAATCGTTAAGCAATGTTTGTCTATTGCTAGGGACATTGGAGACGTTAGCGTCTGCCATGTCAAGAGATCAGCGAATCAAGTGGCCCACGAGTTAGCTCGGGCAACTGGTTCTTTGTCTGTCTCAGGAGAGTGGGCTGGTGTTCCACCTACTTGTATTTCCGGTTTACTCAGTTATTAATGAAGTTTTGACGTTTTGTTTCAAAAAAAAAAAAAAAAAAAAAAAAAAAAACTACAGGAACATAATATATTAATTACAACAAGTATATAATCTAAACAAGTAAATTGAAAGCACATAATATGTTAACTGCAGTTGCAATTAACATATAATATGTTTGTAGTTAACTTATTATGTACTTTCAATTTATTTATAGGCACATAATTTATTAACTATAGGCACATAATATTTTAATTGCAGACACATAATCTAAATATTATTTTGGACCAAAGTCAACAATGCAAGATGGACTTTGGTCCATGGTATAATTTTCCATTAACCCTAGTCTACAATATAACAATTGATAATTGATAATATAAACAATGGCAAATTATACTTGGACCAAGATCCATTTTATTGCATTGTGGACTCTAGTCCAAAACATTCAAATTATGTACTTTTTTTTTATTCCAATACAATATTTGTGTCTCTATTAAGGCTCAATCTCACAACTTCCTACTTAAGTGAATAAACTTGGTGCCATTGACCCACAAGGTCTTTGGCTCAAATTATGCACTTATGTTATCATATTATATACATTCAGCAAACAGATTACGTACCTAAATAAATTGAATGTACATAATATATTAACTGTAAATATATAATCTTGACATGGTCCATCATGCACCTGGTGAATCCTGATCCACAATATAACAATCGATAAACAAATGTATTGGACCACAGCCTGAAAACATATATCATGAAATGGGCCTCTAAAATCTGCTTTACTTATCAGTAGAATTGTTTCTAAATGAGTTTTAGGATTCATATTATTATTATGGTCCATGCATTAATGGTTAACATACAAGAACTATCTAGTACAATGTCAAACACATAAAACTATGTCAAATTAATGGTTAACAAGAACTAATACAATCTTCCCAAACTTCACAAGAACTAATACAATGTACTAGTACAATGTCAAACAAGTGTCATGACTATTGGTGTCACTAGAAAGAGACTTTGATAATAATAAGGTTTAAATTGATCATTGAATAAAATATGAAAGTTCAATTAAATCACTAAATGAATATATGAATGACAATTAATTACCTATATATATATATATATATATATATATATATATATATATGAACATCTTATATATAATCTTGTATTGATATATTTTGAAGTATTTATGTAAAAATAAATATGGGTCATTATAAGTTCGTGCAATGCACGCGAAAACTAGTAATAATAATAATAATAATAATAATAATAATAATAATAATAATAATAATAATAATAATAATAATAATAATAATAATAATAATAATAATAATAATAATAATAAAGATTAAAGAAAGAGGGAAGAAGAGGAAAAAAAAAAGGTGGGGGGGGGGGGGGGGCGGGGGGGGGACTCACCATCCACATATGCAGGCAATCAGAAGAAATGGGTGTTAACTTGCTATCAAGTAAAATTGCATATATTTGGAGTATTCAGGGGAGTAATTACACTTTTTTTTTTTTCGTTGGGTGGCTTAATTGCACTTTCAGGTTACGTTTAGTAGCCAATTTGGATCTTATTTCTTTTTATAAATAACTACGGAGAATTATTTTATTAGAAAATGTAATTGTCCTTATTTTTTGGAGGATAAGAGAAACTCATAACCACGAAAGGTATGCATTGAGTAAAATCCGTTCTTGTGTAATAAACTATCTATTTTTATGAGTTAATTTCATTTTTAGTTCTAGATTTATAGGTGACAATCCACTTTTAGTCTCTTTTTTTCAAAAGATCCCCATTTGATCTTAGTATTATTGTGGCATGACCATTTTTTATCCTCCATCAACAAAACTGTTTAAATTTCATAAAATACAAGGACATTTAGGTCTTTAATTATGAATTTTTTTAAAAAAAAAATTAAAAATAAAAATATAGCGGGTCAACCCACTTTGTACAAAAAAAAAATCAAAATGTCTTTATATTTAACGACATTTCAACGATTTTGTCGGCGAATGACAAAAAATGGTCATGCCACACTAATACCATGACCAAATGGGAATGTTCTGAAAAAGAAAGACTAAAAGTGGAATGTTACTGTACCTATAAATCTAGGACAAAAAATGAAATTAACTCCTATTTTTATTTAGAAAAATGCTTCTTACCCCTCCTGAGTTTCCCTTCCTATATTTCTCGGCTTCATGATGTGGGTTTCCATTCCTTTGGTGTTCATTAATTGGTTGATCTACCACTAATTACAAAGAAAATTTAATAACAAATCAAATAATGTCACATCATGATAAATGGATTGGAGGAAAAAATAGGAGGGACGACATTTAGCATTACTCTTTTATTTATAGTAGTAGATGCCTGCCAATGGTTTTGAAATGTTCAATGCCCTCTCATGCATGTGTGTGAGCTGATCACTTTTGATAGGCTCTAAGCGACACACGTAAAAGAAGAAAGAGAGAAAGAAGAGTGTTAGGATGTGTCACATATCAACTAAAAATCTAAATGGATTAATATATGTTCAATACCTCTTTACGTGTGTTGGCCAGTTACTTTTGACAAACTTTAAGCAACATTAGGACCATAGTCTCACTTGCATAGGTTATTTCCGATACCAAATCAAAGAATATGTTTCACTTTAACTAAAACACTAAGCTGATAGTTATGGATTGTACATTTATATTTATATATATATTATATATTCAACATGTCGTGGATGAGAATTGCAAATTAAAATGGACTTTGTTGTCAAGAATTCATATTATTGTTGGAGATTTCATTGGGTCTTAATGTCTTATTAGCCACAAGTGATGAGATAATTTTCCTTGAAAAATGGAAACCGACCATGATTGAGCTGCTACTGAATTGAATACAAAATAGAATGTCAATGTCCGTGCCAACCTGAGGGAACACCTACCTAATAAGCCAATAGACTTGAGTCATCTTGAAGATAAGGTCCTAGATTTCAACTTCAAGAAAAAAAAAATGCTTCTTTTCTATTTTGCCGACCAGAAGTAAAATCTCTCATCTCAATTATCCTCACATCTCAAACTAATAAGATTATAGAATAATAAACTAGGGTAATTCAGCAGTTTATTATGTGGGATAAGATTATAGAATAATAAACTAGGGTAATTCAGCAGTTTATTATGTGAGAGGATTAATATTTTTTACTCACAAGAAATGATCTCTACAAAATGATGAAAATCTCATATTATGAGTGTCAAATTAAAGCTTGATCATGTATTTTTGCTCACAATCTACCACCCAAGAACCGAGCTACTTGTGCAGGCGATTCTCTTCTATTTTAATTAGTATCTACTTATCATTTTATTACACAGTTTCTCATTTCATTTTTAATTAATTATAGGAAAATAATATTTTTAACCACTGAATTGTTTCACTTTTACAATTTTAGTCTCTATAAATTAATTTAAACAAATTTACCCTTTTAATTATTTATAATGTTGCATTTTTAGTCCTTATAATTATATATTAAAATTATCAAATTCCAATAACATATATATGAGGTTATTTTTATCATTTATATTCAATATTCATTGTTAAAAATGATGTTCACATTGAGATAGTAAAATTTTAACCATGAATGTTGATTCTAAATGACAAAAATAATCTCTTAAAAAGAGTTTGCTAATGAAATTTGATAATTATATAACACCAAGGACTGAAAGTACAACATAATATATCATTAAGGGACTAAATCTGTTTAAATTAAATCAATTAACATGCAGGGGTGGAGCCAGGATTTTTGTTTAGTGCGGACGGAACATTACAACAAAAGAGATAGCTTAAACAAAAAAACTGAAACACTTATTAATTTGATAAAATAATTATAATAGAAAATACATTATAAATTACATATCTCGTT